ATTAACAAAAGGAACAGCGTGTGTTTAAATTTAAAGCACATTATTGCAGTGGAAGACGCACTGCTGTCACACTCTTCCCAGTCTGAACACACCCCACCATTCTTGCCACCCTCTACAGCAGCTCTGAATCTCTTCTTTATCGATGTCTTCACTAGCTGTGTTCAAAAGCACGGTGAGTGCGGCTGCCCAGCGCAGGCAGAGCAGAGGCAGCTCGCACAAACCTGACAGAGGGTCCTCCTTCCCTTGTCCCTGGCTCTGGCACCAGGTGGCCTCTGGCTTCCCAAGGAGGAAGTGACTAGGGCAGGGGAGCGCCTGGGCTAACGGGCATGGGAGGAGCAGGAGCGTGCAGCTGTGGACACCGGGCTCTCGGAAAGTGCCAGGAATGGCACAAGGGACGCGCTCCGAGCACGGGGAAGCTTCGGCGGGAGCGGAGCTGGCAACGTGTCTTGCAGTCAAGTACAGTTCTCAAAATTGTGTATTTTGATCACCTGGCAGCTGTGCACAGGCGGCTGGGGACCCATGGGCTCAGGCCCAAGAGGTGAGGTGTCCTGCTGGACACTCATAAAGCAGGGGCGAGCCAGGCACACACAGCCTCTGCCATCAGGGAGCTCAGCCTAAGGCAGAAAGGGAGTAGGTAAATGTGCTCCAGCTCCCAACACCCATCGCCATCCAGGGCCCGGCCCCACTGTCTACAGGCCTCCGCTATCCCCTGGCCGTGGGCCTCAAGGGCCACAAGGTGACTAAGAATGTGAGCAAACTGAGGCACAGCTGCCATCGCGGATGCCTCACCAAACATACCAAGTTCATTCGAGACATGATCCAGGAGGTGTGCGGCTTCGGCCCTACCAGCGGCCTGCCGTGGAGCTGCTCAAGGTCTGCAAGGCCAAATTCTCCCTCAAGTTCATCAAGAAAAGGGTGGGGACGCACGTCCGTGCCAAGGTAAGCGTGAGGAGCTGAGCGCCGTGCTGGCCTCCATGAGGAAGGCAGCTGTCAAGGAGAACTGAGCCCCTCTGGAATAAAGCTTTGTAGAAAGTTAAAAAATAATAAATAAATAAACAGACCAAAGGCAGAAAAGATGAGGAAGGGAGACAGAAGCGTGGCGGTGAGGAAGGCTGTCTGTCCACTGGCTCGCGCTTAGGTGCTGTGCTGTGCCCAGTGGGGTAGAACCCCGCCACCCATCCGTCAGACATTTCCTCGGAACAGACCCGACACCCCGATCTCCCCTTGCTCTGTGTACATCAGATCCCTAACAAGATGTCAAAGCAACCAACACTGCTCTTTCGGATGCCGTCTAATATATTGAATTGTACACTGCACTAATTACTTGGTGAATTTTTCTTCCTCATCAGACCCGAAGCCCGTGAGGGAAGCAGCTCTCTGGGTTTTGCTCACTACACGTCCTTAGCACCTGACATATGGGGATCAAAACACATTCAGAGCAGAACGATATTGTGCAATCATTTTTTCTTTTTTACTGTCCCCACAAGGGTTTTTCTGTCATGAGAATCTAAGTATTCCTCAGGCCACACAGTGATGTTTCAGAGTTCAGGAGCTCTGGTCAAGATAAACGTCTGTGGAACTCAATCCAAAGAGGCCTTTTTATCCCTATATCACTTTGTACTCTGAAAGACACGGGCCTTCTGCATTTCTTCAAAATCTTCCGTGGAATTGTAATTTCTGTAGAAGCCCGCACAGGCCTTCTTTCTGCATTCAGCCATGCCAAACTCAGAGTGCTGCAACCCCCGGAAGACTGCAAACAATATGAGCCCACAGGCGCCTGGCCAGAAGCCCCCGCGTCCTGGGTTTGCCACCACACTGGAACTCAGTCTTGCTATCCTCAACACCAAAGTCCTTCCCAGCTGACAGAGAAAAGAACTCCTTGTGCTCTCGTTTCCAGCAGTACCCTCCCCTTAGCCTTGCAGAGGTGTGCACTGGGACACTCGCAGGAGCGGGATTTCAAAGGCAGAAGTCTGGTGCAACAAAGATCCCGGAGCCGGGGCACCCGGACAGCTGGCCTGAGTCCCACTGCGGCCAGCCGCTGAGGTCAGTGGCGGCCATTGCTTTCCCTTCCTGTCAATAAAGAATTATTAAGTGTGCATGTTAGTGGGGCTCAAGGTTATTTTCTTGGAGAGAGTTAATTGATGGAAGGTTAAACAAAGCCACAAGTTTTACTTTGAAAAAACAAAGAAAATGAAGAATCACTTCGATTATGAGCAATGTGTCCAAAGAAATGATTCCCAAATTAATCTTTTCTGGAAGTGAAACAAATCTTGATATAATGCATCTCAATTCCCAGTCCTGGTACACACACACACACACACACACACACACACACACACATGCACGCACAGTATTCAACTCAGCCCCCAATTTGATTATATAAAACAACACGAATTAGTTGCAGGCATTAAAGCTTTTTTTTTTTTTCTCAAGATGTTTGCTCTTGGAAGATTGATTTTCCCATGTCTGCTGGGGGAAACCATTCTTTCTGGTCAAAGAAAAAATTCATTCCGAACATAAGTGTGCAGGCCTTTGTGATCCCCCCACTGCAGCCCACCTCCCATCACAGACCTGGGGCGGGAATGCTGCCCACGCAAGGGTGAGCTTGGCGGGGCGCATGCTGAATGCTCCTGAGGCACGCAAGCAGAAAGTTCCTGGGAAGGCTGCGTTGCTGACATTTGCTCTCCATCTACCAGAGTTCCCCCGCTCCTGCTCACAGAGACTGGGGGCTCTCTGAAGTCCTTCAGATTCGGAAATCAGCCCGACTCCCAGAGGGTTGACGAGCACTGAGGATGTTGACTTCTCTTTTTTTCAGTATCAAGTGAGGAAAAACCCCGAATCTTTTTTCTTAGAGGTGCACATCCTGTCCAACTTTCCCACCTCCCTGAGGAAAATGTGTTGGAAGATGGCAACATTTCATGAGAAAAATAAGGGAGTGAAGGAAAGGCCTAGATCTAAGGCCGAGGCGGGTAAATGGAGGGTGAAGTTGTCAGAGCTTAAACAGCTTCCCCGGCTGCCATGAGCGCTCCATGGTGACACCATAATGGTCCTGCAACCTGAAACCCAGGGAACAACCCTGAGTGGGGACATCTGAGGTTTTGCGTGCAAGAAACTTTCTTGGCCACACATCAAAATCCTTCAGGGTTTTGTGGTCATTTTCAAACTGGCCATATTTGTTTGTTTTTAGCTCCGTGTGCATAGGCAGGTTTTCTAGAAGTTTAGAAGTTTTAGTTTTTCTAGAAGTTCAAAGGCGAGCTCATAGTGCATGGCATGGTGAATTTGTGGTACAAGGTAACCACACCGTTGAGTGATATGGGCAAAGCTCCCTGGTAACTACACACAGTACTTAGCCGTCTGCTGCAGTGTCCAAGTGACATGAGGCCTTCAAAAGCAAAACAGAGTCATAATACAGTGGCCAAGGCTAAGCAGCAAATGCTACAGTGGAGTGGAAGGCTGACAGCAGAGGACGAAAGACTGAAAGAGGCAGCTCATACAGCTCTGCACTCCATTCAGTCAAGGAGGTCAACCAGATGGACACAAGTGGCCGACCAAGGGTCTGCAGAGAACACTGGGGCCTTCAGGCCTGCTCACATGGAAGGGAAGTGCCCTAGAGAGCCTCACCTGGGCAACAAGTGAGAGCAGACGTTCCGTGCGCACCTCTTGGCGCTAACTCTGAGGGGTTTTGTTCTGTTTCACTTTGTCACTTTCCCAGGATCAATTAATCCTTAGAAGCTCTTCGTTTTGAAAATAGTATGATGTGTTCCCCACTAGTAACTCAGAATAATACCCAAGGAGTGAGACACACCTTTCAGGAGTGAAGAAATCAGACGAGCTTCCTTCTAAATGTTTTGATTGCCAACTCCTGGATAAATTCTTGGAGCTGCTCTTCTCTGTGGGGCTGGGGTTGGTGGCTCAGCTTTGTGGAGTCTGGTGAGTTTGTGGTTTTGCTTATGACAGGACTCCAGTGGGTCCAGAGACTAGAAAGTCAGAGAGGGGTAGGAGCGGGAACTCAGCTCCAGCGCTCATGTGGGGTCACGAGGTGGGGCTTTTCTGAGCACCCTCCCTCACGGGCGCCATGGCTCGGGCGCCATGGCTCACACGCCAAGGCCATGGGAAGGCTGTGCAGCAGCTCCTTTCCTTCGCATCCACGTGGAGTTCTGCCAAGCTGGATCCCCAGCAGCCACTTTGCAGTTCAACTTCCGGGCTTCACAGTAACAATGCTGAAGAGAAAATGTCTGTACTTGAGGTAATCACAGGCTCTCCCCTAATACCAGGCTGCTCTGCCAAAGCGTCAGCAGCACAAAGGGCCCCAGTGTTCTTTGTCCATCCCAGAGGAAGGGGTGCATCCTTGCCACGGGGCTCCCAGCTCCCCACCTGCACAGGACAAAGCTGGGCTTTCATTTCACAAAGAGTGGACTCAAGTCGATTACCTTCATTTGACCTTTATTGAAGACCACAGAATGTGAGGTATTGTACCTCTGTGTTGGAAGTCCGAACATGGGATAATGAAGATTTTCCTTTTATATTGAATGCTGACACAAATAATTTTTAAACAACCCTTAGGAATGCTCCCCAGATCTTTATGTGAACAACATTCATTATTTATGCTATCAGCAAAAGAAAACATCCTTACTTGAATATTTTAAGTAGCTGCCTTTAAGTAATTTTTCATTGCTATAAGCAAATAGCGGAGGCAGGCTACATATGAAGGAGAGGAGGTTTAGTTTGTTCATGATTTTGGAGACTGAAGGTTCAGGCAGCATAGTATTGACTTTAGCAAAAAACTATGGAAACAGCAGGAGACC